CTCCAGCAGCAGCTCCTCCTTCTTCCGATTTGCGAGCGTGACTTCTCGTAGCGGGCTGACTCCGCGCGCGAGGCAGAAGAGAGACCACCGCCGCCTGCTCAGGCTGTGCGACTTGATGGTCGAGCTCGCCAGTTTGTCCAGGAGGAGTTTCAGCTTGGCCTTCTCCCAGTCCCCGCGTGTCTTGAGGTCCGGGGCTTGGGCTTGTCTCGGACAGCTTCTGGCCCAAGTAGGTTCGGCGGCTGGTGCTGCGCCGGGTCCACGCTCTTGCCTCGCTTCTTATGTTTCTTATTATGTGTCATCTTACTATTCTTCTTCCTCTTCTAATTGTTATTCGCGTTATTATTATTATTATTATTATTCGTATTATTATTGTTATTGTTATTATTATTATTATTATTATTATTATTAGTATTATTAGTATTATTACTGTTATTGTTATTTTTATTATTGTCATTGTTATTATTATTATTATTATATTATTATTATTGTTAGTAGTATTAATAACATTATTATTACTATTACTATTACTATTATTATTTGTATTATTATTACTATTATTTTTATTTTTATAATTTTAGTAGTAGTTGTTGTATTATTATTAGTACTATTATTATCCCATTATTATTAATATTATTATTATTATCATCATTATTCGTCTTCGTTTTCTTCTGGGAGACAGCTCCTGCCTTGCGCCCCTCTGCCTCGTGCGGCATCTGCGCCGCCAGGGCCCAGGCGAGCCGCCTTCCCCCTCCGATCGGGGCAGGCCCAGGTCAGCGACCGGCCTGCCCGGCTGCCCCCGCGCCTCCTCCCGCTCCGGGCGCCCGCTCCTGACGGCCTGCCGTCCGCCTCGCGGCTGCCCCGCCCGCCGTCGCCCGCCCCCCGACCGCTGCCCTGGGCGAGCAGCTTCGAGTGTGTCCCGAGGTCCTCTGCTCCTGCACCGGCGCTGCCGGAGCCCCTGGTGTCGTCGAGGCAGCGCGCAACTGGCCTCCGGGTCGACGCTGGAGCCGCCGTCTGGGCCTTGGCCGCTCGAGCCTTCGCCTCTCTCCAGGGCGGGCTCCTCCTCCTCCTCCTCCTCCTCCTCCTCCTCCTCCTCCTCCTCCTCCTCCTCCTCCTCCTCCTCCTCCTCCTCCTCCTCGTTCTCCTCCTCCTTTTCCCCCTCCTCCTCCCCTTCCTCCTCCTTCTCCTCTGCCTCCTCCTTCTCCTCCTCCTCCTTCTCCTCCTCCTCCTCCTCCTCCTCCTCCTCCTCCTCCTCCCTCCTCCCTCCTCCTCCTCCTCCTCCTCCTCCTCCTCCCCTCCTCCTCCCCCTTCTCTCCTCCTCTCCTCCTCCTCCTCCTCCTCCTCCTCCTCCTCCTCCTCCTCCCCAAGCTGCCGCTTTGGGTCAACCTCCCGGGTCGACCCCCGCGGCCACTTGGCAGGCGACCTCCCCAGGTTGACTGCCCCGCTCGCGCCGCCGCGGCCATGTCTGGCGCGGCTGTCGGCGCTGCCTCGTCTGGTGTTGCTCGCCGCCGTCGCGTGCAGAAACAGCGCTCCACTGCCCGCAACGTGCAATGGCTGCTCTCGCTGCGCCAGGCCGGTGCCGCGCATCACACCTCCGCTCCAGGTAGTGTTGGGGCTTCGGAGGTCTCCGAGTTGCGGCGCGAGCTCAGCGTGATGAAACAGGAGATTTCAGAGCTCCGCATGCTGCTCGCGTCAGCTGGGCACTTGAACTTCTCGGCAGCTGTTCACGGTCTCGGTGAAGATCCTGAGCCCCATGTTGTTTCTGGCGTTCCTGGCTACTCTCGTGCAGTTCGCGAAAGCCGAGGCCCAAGTGATGGGCCCTACTCCGAGGCCGGTAAGGACAAGGGCAGGGTCATCGGGAACGGCAAGGGCAAGGCCAAGGAGGCCTTTGGTGCGCCCCCCGGCAACCCTCCTGCTTCTCCTCTTGCTGCTGATGCTGCACCCACTCCTCGTGCTTCTGGAGCTGTTCACGGCAGTGGAGTTGCTCCCTTTGCAGGCGCTGCCGGCCAGGCGGGACATGCGCCGCTTCCTGGAGCTCTTCCTGGCGATGCTGCCGCCCCCTCTGCCAGTCGGGACGCCTGGGCAGATGGCCATGACTCGCGGGCCCAGGTGCGAGCCCCTGCTGCTCGCCATGTGTCTCGTGAAGAACGTCTTGCTCGATTCAGTACGGGAGCGCCTCCTGCCAAGAGCAAGGACAATGAGAAGGATGTGATGGCCAAGCGGTTTGCTCCCGTTTAGATCTTCCTCTCCATTCCTGCCTCATTCTGTATCCCTCCCTCCCCCTGCCTCTTCGCCCGGAGTTGTCTGCTCGATTATGGGGTGGTGGAGGCTTGGAGGAGGAGGAGGAGGAGGAGGAGGAGGAGGAGGAGGAGGAGGAGGATATTGTTTCTTTTTGAACGAGTGTGCTATATCATGCGCAGTTCATTGATTCCTCTTGCCAGCGGAGGCAATCAATGGAACTGGTTTGTAGCCTACCGCTTGCTTGCCCCTGCTTTGCACTGCGTGGGACTCATCGCGGTTGTTCTCTCTAGGTCGGGTCCTCTGGCATGTTGTTTGGAGGGCCGCCCTGTGCCGCTTAGCGGTGCAGGGTCGGCTCTTCATCCTTCGTTGCTGGATGGCCCAGCCTTGCTCCCGACGTGTCCAATCCAATCCAATCCTCCTCCTCCCCTTTTCCTCCTCCTCCTCCCTTCTCCTCTGGCGAGGGCCCCCTCGTGGCGTCTGGGGCGCCCCCCGCCCTCGAGCCGGGCCGCCCGCCCGCCCGTGCCTCGCCCCGCCGCCGGCGGCCGCGGGCGCGGAAGGGCGCGGAAAGGCAAGCGCGCTAGCGCTGCGAGAGGAGAGGGGGGGGGGAGAAGATCTTCTGGGGCGCTCTAGGGGGATTGGGGAAGAGGACGAGGAGGAGGGTGAGGAGGAGGATGAGGAGGAGGAGGAGGAGGAGGAGGAGGCCCGGGCCCGTTCTCAGCGGACCCGGGCCCTTGTTCATCGACGTGTCGGTCGCGGAGGCGACTTCGGGCTTCGCCAGCGCCGTGCGGGCCCGCGCCCGACGTCCAGGACTGGCTGCAGCTGACCGGGAACGCACGAAACAACCGCGCTACCCTGGTGAAGAGCCGCTGCCACCCGTCCTCGAGGCAGGGGGGCGCTGGGGGCGCGAAGTCAGTCTCTGGGCTCGTTCCGTCCTGCCGGGGTGTCCGCGACGGGCGGAGCGACTCGCTGAGCTACGCTGCCGGTTGGCCGTGTCGCTACAGCGGGGCGTCGCCGCCTCGCTGCTGGCCGCCAGCGCGGGTGCCGCGTGCCCGTGGTGTTCGGCGCGATGGCGCCCCGGGAGCACGAGCATGTTAGCTCCCGCGCGTGGGGGGGGGGGGTATTCGGTCCTTTTCCCCCCTATGCTTCCTCCTCCTCTTCCCGTTCCTCATCGCGGCGACGACCTGGCCCGCGGCCCCACGGGCGCCTTGCGTGGGAGTGCGGTGGCGCAGACCCTAAGCCCGGGGCCACGGGGGCTAGTTCCGTTCTCCCTTCCTCCTCCTCCTCCTCCTCCTCCTCCTCCTCCTCCTCCTCCCCCTCCTCCTCCCCTCCTCCTCCTTTCCTCCTCCTCCTCCTCCCCTCCTCTCCTCCTCCTACCTCCTCCTCCTCCCCTCCTCCTCCTCCTCCTCCTCCTCCTCCTCCTCCTCCTCCTCCTCCTCCTCCTCCTCCTCCTCCCCTTTTCCTCCTCCGAGGGAGAACGTCTTTCCTAGGCGTGCAGGGTTGCTGCTCTCATTCCTGTTGTTGGGGAGGGGGGGCCCTGTCGCGTTCCCTGGTGCGCCGCCGATTCGAAGCCGCACCGTGGGGGCGGAGAAGTGTAAAGGGCACCCCTCCGACTCGCAAGTGCCACGTTGTTTTCTGTCATGAGTTCCGACGACCCGGGGGCCCGAAGGCGGCCTCTGGGGCGCCAAGGGCATCGCTGTTAGCCTTGCGTTGGACGTTCCTCGCGCGCCTGACCCCGTTGGCCGCCCATTCCAGAAAGAGATGGATGCTGGGGCCGCGACAGCACCAAGAGGAGGAGGAGGAGGAGGAGGAGGAGGAGGAGGAGGAGGAGGAGGAGGAGCTTCCCTCCAGTCCCCCCCCCTCTCCCTTGCGCTTCTCTCCGCTCGCGCCTCGCGCAGGGGCGACGAACGAAGGGGGGGGAGTAGGCACAGCGGGGGACGCATGGGCCCCCAATCGCCCACCGTCCGGCGGAGGCGTCTATACACCACCACCGTGCCAGGCCAGGGCCGTCCTGGGCCCCAGGATGGCCCTGGCTTGGCACTAAAACGACGCGAAGATCGGGACAAAAATGGATCGTGATAACTCTAAATCTCTGAGAATCGGCGGGTTTGGAGGATGTATTGGGCGCCGCGGCCGCTCCAGAGCGTTCCGGAACGCTCTGAGAGCGCTCCGGAACGCTCTGGAGCGATTTATCTTGATCCTAGCACTGTTTTAGGCACGGCGGTTGTGTATAGTTGTTTTCTGCGTACATGATCGCCGAGAGGGGCCCGGAAAGCTCCAGCCTGCCCAGGAGCGTGCGGATTCGCTATGTGGGGCCCATCGCCGATCTGCTGGTGATGTATCGCCAACTCCACATCGAGGTGTTCCCCGTGTGCCCCCCCCCACCCCATCGTTGCCACTCAGAAGAGGGTGCGGCACCCTGAAACGAAGGCGGGATGAGCCAGCGCCACCAAACATACTGATACTATTTGTGCGTCGCCCCCCCAGGGGCGATGCGCGCGCCGAAAAATCTTGTACTATAAGTTCCGTTGCGGGAGCTTTCTGGCCATCCTGCTCAGGAAGCGATCTACTACAACACGGTTGTGCTACATGTCCGGAACGGACTCACTCCTCCGAGGAGGACGCACGTACTAGTGTGTCATTGTGCGTCACAATACGGGGAGAGGGGGGCTACCCCAAAAATATGGTTGCGGTTCCCCTCCTTTCCTCGTCCGCGTGCAATCTCTCCTCCGCCCCCTCCCCCCCGCGCGCGCGCGTCTCCCGAGGTGGCTGCGCCGGCTGCGGCGGCTGCGGCGGCTTCGGCTGCGGCGGCTGCTGCGGTGGCTGCGGTTGCGGCGGCTGCGGCGGCGGCTTCATGATGGGGTCCGGGCGGGGCATCTTGTGGCAATGTCCGAGATCCACCCATCGAACGGGGCTAGTACGAGGATAGCTCCGCTCCAAAACGTTCCAGAGCACTCCCAGAGCGTTCTGGGACGCTCTGAGAAGGCCGCAGGGCCCGAGACATTCTCCAGAGTCGCCGGATCTCAAAGAACCTCGATCGATCTTCACCCGATGTTGTCCTTGTCCTGGCTCTGTCTTAACCAGGTAAGGGAGGAAGGCGGGACGGGAGCGTTGGAAGGGGCGTGGTGAGCGAGGGACGTGTAAGCAGAGGGCGGGGAGGGAGGGAAAGCGAGTCGAGGGGGAGGCGAGGGCCGAGAATGGGGGAGGGGCGTGCGAAAGTGAAGTCTTTCAGCCTGGGCAGAACCATGGGCGTCAATGTTCGCTTTTTGGCTCCATCACGTATCCAGAGTTCGAAGTTACCTCGCCAATTTTCTTTAATCACGAGCCTCTGCAGACGGAAAGTGTGTGAAGGCTTTCGGGTGGTTCAGCATCGCCCTGTTGTTCGGCAGAATTCGTGCATATTTGCTTAGTTGGCCTAGGTAGTTGAGAATCGCATGCCAGTCGAACTCAGAGGTTACAGAGGCGAGCTGGAGAATTGGGGAAAGGGGGAAGATGGGAGTCGAGCAGGGGGGGCGGGAGAGGAGTGAAAACCACGTTTGTGGTCACTTCCACACCAGGTCGCCGCAGCTTGGCTATCCAGGCGCCAGCCAGAGGGAGGGGGAGGGCGGGCCAGCATGATTGACCGGCTTCTTTTTGGTGTGCTTGTTTGCCGTGTAGGTCACGTTGCCTTTTGGCGTGCCTGCTTGCGCGTGCTGAACTTTGGTATGCTGCTTGTTGGTGTCGCCACAAGTCTCCCTGACGGATGGTACAACAAAATGTTGCTTGTTGATGTGCCTTGGTCGGGAGCTCGGGTGGGCCTGCTTGTCCTAACGTTCCTGTTGTTCATCACTTCCTCCCTCGTCCTCAACAAGGTCTACTACATCCAACCCATATCCCCTTCTCCCAGGACGAATCCAGGACGCAGGAGGGTTATCAGCATCCTCTCCCTGGCCTGTGGGAAGAGAGGTGGGAGTAGGGGTAGTGACCTCTTTTACCCTTCCGTGTAAAGCACCTTGGGTGCCACCCGTGAAGCGTTGTGAGTGGTAGTCTTGTGTTTTTCGTCAAGGTGCAACGTTTGGCATGCTCTAGCTGATCAGGGCTGTGCCCGGGACGTGTCCCACTCTGGCACAAGGGGAACCGGGTGTGAACAGGTGATCGTGGTAGTTGGGTGGGTAGGATCGCAGCGACTCTGTCCCTCGTTTAGTGGACCTGATTTGGTTCTTGTGACTCATGGTGGATGACTGAGGTTTGGCAGTGCTACAGTGTTTATCGTCTCTGGTTTTGCACGCGTTTAGTGCACGGTCGCATTCGCCACCGACCTTTTGGGCGTGAGCATCAGTAACAGCATTCGTGATTATAGCAGCGGCAGGTGTGCCTAGCCATCCGCGGTTGCGGATAAGAGCGAGGGGGCGCCCGAGTGGTTCGCGGGAGGGTGGCAGGGTGGGGACGGGTCGCGGCTGTGCTACGGATGGGTGGGTCACGTGTGGTCGCAGGTGGGTCGCTGGTGGGTCACAGAGTGGGCCGCAGGTGGGTCGTTGGGTCGCCGATGTGTCGCGGGGGGGTCGCGGGGGGGGTCGTGTGCGGGTCGCAGGTGGCGGGTCGTGGGTGGGTCGCGGGATGGGTCGGGGGCGCGTCGCGGGCGGGGCGCGGGCGGGTCACGGGGAGTGCAGCAGGCGGGACGTGGGTGGAACGACGACTGCGAACAAGCCGTGCAAATCCGCACCGCTGAATTCCCTTTCAGCCACGCACCCGGGGACGGCCGAAGACCGTCCGGCCCCCTCGCCCTGATTAGTAGCAAGTGGTCAGCATTCGGCATGCAGCACGCTGGCGCAGCCACGAACCAACACGGTGCTCGACGTCTGGTCGTTCACCGTCCGTGTTCGGGGAGCTGTCGCTCGCCAGGGCCCGCGTGGGCGCCAGACTGCGAGGACGGCGTGCAGATAGGATGAATGGCGAGAGTTCGAGGCAGGGCGAGGGCCAGGCCGAGTATGACTGTCATACACTCCTTCCGGTAGAGGGAAACAATTGGTAAACACCCCCCCTGCCCCCCAAACTCAAAGTTGGCACGCGCGGGGGGAGACTGCGGTCGAGGTGCAACGCATCAGACCCACCGCCAACTTGGGGGGAGGGGGAGGCGTTGACAGATGAATGTGGCATGAGTGTTCGCTATTTTTGTTCCGAGGCCTGTCGCACGCGCTCTCGCAGTAAGCGTATGCTTCGGGCTGTGAGGGGGAGGGGGCGGACTTCTGATCTTCCAGCCTACTTTCGCCTCGCTCACCAGAAACCAGTTCGAGCACAAAGAAGATACCGAGACTGGAGCGTTTTCACGTGTCGGGCCCTGGGAGGCGATATTCGTTCGACGTTGTTTCGATACGTTTCTCTCAAGTACCGTGGGAGCAACATAAGGGCGGATATGGGGCAAAGCGGGACTGTGTAGAGGAAAGAGCGGGGCAATGAGAAGTCCCAGGGTTGCTTGAGGCGAGGAGGTGAATGCGCGATGGGGGTGGAGCGGAGTAGAATGCGGAAGCCCATGAGGGATCGGATTTCTACAGACCAATGCCAGAGCGAATAGTAGCGGCCCATGCGTTGTAGAAACATTGGGGGATGCAGCGGGATTTTGCACGATGACGCCCGCGGCAGACGGCACGTTTCGCCAGGCTGGGGGTGACAGCGCATCCACAACCAGTTGCCAGTGCGCCCAACGTTCCCCGCCATTGTCGAAGGCGGACTGGGCTGGGTGGTGGCGGGTGGGGTCGCCTCTGGCCAGGTGCTGTGCCCCCATCCTCGTTTTCCCTATTCTCTCCTTTGCTCTCTTCTGTCGCAAGTGATCTGCATGAATCAAGTCATCAGGAATACATACGTACCACCATGCCCTCGCGCAAGCACCAGCAGGCGCAAGCAACAGCACGCCTGGATGATGCCGCTGCCTCGAGCACTTGGGACTGGACTCGACGACCGCTGTTCCGTGGTGCACGCTCAAGAAATGACGGTGGAAACGACCGCAAGCGAGACATGACTTTGCGCAGGCAGCCCAGATCCAGGCAATATTGGGTCAGAGAAATGCAGTGGCAGAACCAATGATATACTCAGCCAGAGGTGTCTGTGTTCCAGAGACGTGGGTTGCGATTTACGCATGCCTTTTCCCTTTGGTAGCCAGTTACATATACACGGTGGACGCCGTGACATGAGAATAGGATGGGGAGATGGTGGAGGAGCAATACTGGAATGCGATAAGCACGAGGAGGAACAGCGAACCAGATAGTGAGAGTTGTTTTGATAAGGGTGTTGTTTGCGGGATTATTCACACTGCCACTCTGGTCGAGCTTCGTCACGGCTGGCAGAGTTTCTGAGGCTCTCTCTTTTCGCCCCCCATTCCAGGCTTCGTCCTAGCCGTGTGGGCAGAGAATTTCCGATTCCCTTTGCCGCGCGGATGGTCTTTTGGCATCGACGGTCGTTATCTCACTTCACCGTGCTTTGACACCGTTTGGGAGACGCGGTAGATCCGTGACGCAAGCGGATGCGAGGATGAGGAGGAGAAGGATGAGGAGAAGGATTAGGAGGATGAGGAGGAGGAGGAGGATGGGTGAGGAGAAGGAGGAGGACATTGTCGCACATGGGTTTGCTTGCTGTGACTTATTGGGATCTTCGGCTGGGAGTACCCAGTAGCCTTTACATTGACAAGCCAATGGCTGCCTGTGCTGCTTGGGCAAGTCGACGGTTTGAGTTCACTTCCTTGAAGAAGCGAAGCTAAGCGAACGCCGGAGTCGTGCGTGCTCCTCAAAAGGGAGCCCGCCCGTGCCCACTTGGGCATGGCGTGGACGCCGTGGCCTCAAGCATGAGAAACATGGGCGAACTCGCGTGACAGCCACCACTCAGTGCTCCCAGCCGTAACCACCGCAGGTCGTGTGTGCTGTTGTACTGGTGTTGCCGTGGTTGGGTCGCCGCTCGAATCTGCTCCTGCCCGGTGTTGGCGTCGCGGTGATGCCCGTCCAGTGTGTGGAGAAGTGTCCAGATGTCGTCGTCCCATCGTTTCTCTTGCCCTCCACGTTACCGTCGTCCTTGCTGTCGATTGTTGAGATTTGGTCTCCAATTCAGCACTCTGTGTCCAGCGTGTCGAAGGGCGAAGAGCTACCGTATTCGCCCAGCGCCAGGCCATCCTTCGGCGCATGTGGAATACATCTGGTATGTCATGTTAAAGCATCAATGTCTCTGCTCTCCGTGTACTCCTGCGGATGAAAGCGGACCACAAGTCGACGTCTTCGTTCTGCATGTGGCCGGGTTGCGTGTTTTCGTCGTCGCTGACGTCGTCTTGCGCGTTTGGCTGGTGGGCAGGCGGGTTGCTGCAAACGTCGGACTCGCTGGAGTCGTTTGGGGCAGTGTTGTTGGTGTCGTGGTTATTGATTGTCTGGGCGTGTCTCTGGATAGTGTTGTGGTGTCGGTGTCGCTGCTGTGCGTTTCTTTGGTGTGCCGATGATGATTCTGACCATCCGTCGCTGCCATCCGTCGCTGTGTTCTGCGTAAGTACTGCTTGAGAGGCTCTGTCAGAGTCCACGTCTCTGCTCCGTACGTCATAGTAGGGATGAGGGTGCCCCTGTATAGTCGTAATCGGTGACGTAGTGGACAGTGTTTGCTGGTAAGTTCTTGACTGTGGCTGCTGAAACATGCCCGTGCTGCTTGAATTCGGTGCTTTATTTCGGTTCCGGGTGCGTCGTGGAAAGTGATTGTCTGGCCCAGGTAGTTGATCGTGCTTGTTCGTGGTGATATGTCGATGTCCATTCCTGCTTCTTTAGCTGTTCGGTCACGGTGCCGAGGCTGGTTGGTCATGATTTTCGTCTTGGTCGGGTGCATTTCCAGTCCGTGCTGTTTGGCCGCGGTGATGAGGTCTGAAAGCATTGCTCTTACATTTGGCAGTGTTTGTCTTATCAGCAAGATGTCGTCTGCGAACCAAAGGTTGGTGAGTTTCGCCGTATCGGTGTGTCCCAGTTGGACGCCTTGGTGCTTCCTCTGCCAAGCTGAGATCGGCGGTGCTAAGACGTGTTGGAGCAGTGCATTGAATAGCAATGAGTTCAGTGGATCTCCTGCTTTGTGCTGCGTTTGAGGTCGAACATTTTACTGGTAGTGTTGGTGCGGACCACGGCCGTTTGGTCTTTGTACATGCGTCGTAGAAGGTCTACGTACCGAGGCGGGACGTCTTGGTGAAGCAGAGCTGCCCATAGGCTGTCGTGTTCGACCGTGTCACAGGCATGTTTGAAGTCTATGGCTGCAACTCAGAGATTGTGCTTCCATTCGATTGCCCTTTCACGTAACATGTTGAAAGTACAGAGGTGGTCGCGTGTGCCTCGTACGGGGCGAAAGCCCGCCTGGTCGTCGGGTTGCTGTCTGTCTAAGGTTGGTTGTAGCCTGTTGTACAGTAGTCGGCTGAAGAGCTTACACAGCATTGGTATTGTGCAGATCGGGCGGTAGTTCTGTGAAAGCGTTAAGTCGCCCGATTTGGGGATTACGGTGATGACGGTCTTTCTCCAGCTGGCTGGCATAGGGGCGTCTGCCTGTATGATGGACAAATGTAATAATGCACGCTGGAGCTCTGGACCTGGTTTGTGAAACATTTCAGCGCGAATTCCAGTAGTGCCTGGTGCTTTGCTGCCCTTGAGCTGCGAGATTGCTGCGGTGAGCTCCGTCGTCGTGGAAGGCAGAATCTCAGGTGGCTTGGGCGCTGCGGTTGGCGTAGGGTCAAGGCTGCGGGGATAAGTAATTATGCAATTGAGCGTACAAATCTGCAAACGTGTTTGCTATCCCTTGTCTCGTTGTCTGCTTGCTGCCGTCGACCGCCACCATCTCCGAAATTAGCGTCCTCCTCCGCCTTGTGTTGATGGAGCGGACGTTCTTGAGGCCTTTTTACTGCTCCAAAATGGTGTTGATTCGCTCCCTCCGGTCAGCGCGCTTCTGTCGTCGAATCTTCTGCTGGATCTTTTAGCTGATTGCTCGTCGGGCTGTGCTGTTGAGGAAGGGAGTTGTGAACGAGTGAAACAGGGTACAGCTTGCAAGAGGGTGAAGAGCAGCCGTGGCATCTGAAAGAGTATCTGGATGGTCGTCGCGCTTGGGCTATTGATTTTGGCACACTCTTCGCATCGGGCTTCCCCGTGGTGCATTGGGCCTCTGGCGAAGGGGCTCATGTTCGGGGGTGGACAGACCTCCTACCCTGACACGTCGATTAGCGAATTCACCGTTTTCGGTTCGGAAGAGGGCGTCGCGGTCGTCGGTTTTGCGGGTCCAGGTCCGTCGGTTTCGGTCCCAGGCCGTTTTCGCTAAAGGGAGGTTTGCTAAAGGGAGGCTTGTCCACCGCCGAAATGCTGCCTGCCCAACTCACGGTGGCCTTGCTCGACAGTAGTTCTCCCAGCTATCCTTTGCCTGGCCCTCGTGCCTTGTACAGTCGGGGCGCTGAAGAAGGAACCCTTTTTGTTGAGGAGGGGCTCGGTGTTCCTTGATTTTTTCACAGATTGCCTCAGGTTTCCCTGATGTTCTCGATAGGAAATCGAAGTTTAACTTATGGAAAAGAGGGGCCTCGTTCCTTATTTTGGGTTCCTTGGGTCAAGCCCCCGACTGTAGTTCTCCCAGCTATCCTTTGCCTGGCCCTCTTGCCTTGTATCTGCCTTTTGCCCCCTGCTCCCGCCCTTCCCGCTGCCCTCCCGCTCCCTGCCCCTGCTGGTGCTGATGCTGGCTCCCCTCTCGCTGCCGGGCCCCCTCCTGCTGCTGATGCCGTGCCCGCCGCGGCTGCTGCTCCTGCATCCACCAGCCTCCCTCTCCCCTCTCCCCTCTCCTCCTTCCCTCCTCCTTCCCTCCTCCTCCTCCTCCTCCTCCTCCTCCTCCTCCTCCTCCTTTCACGTTGGGCAATCTTTGAGCGAGGCTCGTAGCCCTCCTCCTCCTCTTCCTCCTCCTCCTTGGACCTTGGACCTGTGGACTGTCTCCTCATGACGAGCGAAGCCCTCGACTCCTTACCACCTGGCCTTCACCACCGGGCCAAGGCCAAAAGAGGAATGTCAGATGAAGGAAGCGGTAAAGACAAAGAGATATAGAGAGAGGGAACGGATAGTACAGTCAACGCGCATAGTAAGGACGCGCGCCTTTTCTAGGGTACCCTTGCTTCCTTGCTACTGCGGCCGTCCTTTTCAGTGCGGCCCGTCCTTCGACGTTTTCACTGGTCGCCCATCGCCCAAACATCCCAGCTTCGGCCTCCAAGGGCCTGGCGTCCTCACCACCCATCCTTAAGATGGGTTTTCACTGTAGGCCACGATGATGAGCACCAGCACCTGTGGCAAAGGCGGCCCGGATTAGTAGGTCGACCCTGCCAAAGCAAGGGTGCCCTTGTGTCCTGTGTCTCGCGACCCGTGCCTCCTGCATCCCTGTGGCAGTGTGGCCCTCGGAAGGGTCTCGTGTCCTCTCGCGTGTCCTGTCCTATCGAGTCCGACTGCAAGAGGAAGAAGCCAGGGGAGAGCGGCGCCCGTGCGCGCCAGCGGCGTTCGGCACGTGTGCGCGTGTGTCCCCAGCGTGGGCCCCACCCTCCCTGGGGGGGAGCCCCCGGGGCGCGCCTCCTCCCGGAGCGAGGCCCGGCGCCTCCCCGTCCCCTGCCGGGTGTCCGAGGTGAGGCCGGGAGGGGTGCGGTGCTCCCAG